CATAAGCATATTTAAAATTTCAATTTAAATCCTCCTTTAAATCCTTAAGGCCGGCGCAGACTGACGTCGCGGCACGGCACGGCATGCCGCGGCATGCCGCGGCATGCCGCGGCACATATCGTGGCGTCCCGCAGCAAGGCCAGCCACTAATTTTCAACTAGTTTTGCTCTGCGCGGATCCGAAGTTGGTTGTGTCGTTATGATTGACTGGGATTTGATATTAATAGCAGTTCTTGCTGAAGATGAAGAGAGACTAATACGAGCTGGTAGGTTAAAGAAAAAAATCTGGATATACATCATTTGTGGAGGACAAGATGTACACACGGTGAATTCAAGAACTTATTTAATGATTTGAGATACGACATGCGAAAATTCTACGACTATTACAGAATGGACTACGAAAAATTTGAAAAGTTAGCTGATTTGCTAAAATCGCGTATAAAGAAAACTAAAACTTATTTTCGATCGCCTATACCTGTTGCAGAAAGATTGTCTGTATGTTTAAGGTAAGTGCCTATTATAGTATAGAATATATATATAAGAAAGAACATAGTAAGTAGTAGGTATTATTAAGTACATAGTCAAGAAGAAAGTATGTATATAGTAAGTAGTATTAATAAGTGATAAGTAAGTAGTATTAAATTAAAATCTTGATTTATTATGTAATCATTTATTTTAATAATCAACTATAATTAATTTTGCAACTGCCACTGCTGCGATATGGTGGTACTTCTCCAATCAATCCAGCTAGGCCACAGCTATACAGGATCGCAAAAAGTAAAGTTTTAATTGTTACTTCCATAGTTAGGAAATTCAGCTTCGGAATTGTTTTCAAATGTATCATTATTATAACATCTGGATATAGGAGAAGGTATGAATGGTGTAGGTGTAGTACCACTGTTCTCTGTATATTGTTGGCCGATTCTTATATTATGGGTTCTGGCAGCAGAAGTTGATGTGTATTGCTGAGACGAATGTAATCCTAATGAATCATTTGAAACATGGAATCCAGAACTTGATGTTGAAGGACGATTATGCTGCACGATTGTGGCTATCTCTTTTGATTCTAAATATTTTATTTCTGCTTCGGTAACAATATGTAGAACGTCACGTTTTACTTCAGCCTGTAATCTTGGTGATAACGATTTTACCGTTGCCGCCATTGATTGAAAAAATATCTCCACCGGGTGTAGATCTTTCTTTTGGTTCCTATGTATTTTTTAAATATTTCTGCTGTTGTTTCTGTTCGTTGCGTTTTCGACGAAGGCAAGTAAGACTGCTGCTGAACATGTCGAGCCGGTGTAGGATCTGATGCGTGTGATGAATTTGACATTTGAGATACAGGTGATTGTACTTCAGGAATAGGGACCGATGTTTCAGGATATTGTGTATTTTCAAAATGCTGCGTATCTTCGAAATACTGTGTATCTTCAGATGAGGAATCTAAATTTGAGTGCTGAGGTCTATCTTTAATGAATTTCCGCAAAAAATCGAGTTCTTTTTCAAATTTTATTGATCGCTTCTTTTTGGCAGCATCCCCTCTTTTGTACACTCTACTTTTTAAGGCTTTTCTATAATTGTTGCGAAGGCAAGTCCACGTCTTCTGGCATTCTTGAGCTGTAACATTAGATTTATTCCATATAGAATCACGAAGTAAGCTTCCTTCTCATTAAAACTATCTGTTAAAAAATAATTAGCTATTAAGTCATCTACTCATTTTATTTTTAAGTTATCTACTAATACTTTTTCGTTTTGTTACAGGTATTTAATTACAGGAGTTTCTTTTAAGTCTTTAGCTTTTAGTTATCGTATGGGATTTAGCACTGTACGCAGTATAGTCCACGAAACCTGTCAAGCAATATTTACTGTACTAAGATCTACTACTTTGCCGAAATCCACGAGCCAACAATGGCAGTCAATAGCAACTGACTTCGAGAAAATTTGGAATTTTCCTAACTGCATTGGAGCCATGGATGGAAAGCATTTCAAGATTCGGGCTCCCAATAACAGTGGAAGTTTGTATAACAACTACAAGAAGTTCTTTAGCGTCGTTTTATTAGCTGTCGTGGATGCAAAATACAAATTTGTGATTGTAGATGTTGGAGCGTATGGTCGAAATAGCGATGGTGGTATATTGCAAAGCTCTAAATTTGGAACAAAATTACGTAATGGTTCTTTATGCATACCACCGGTAAAAACTTTACCACATACAATCCAAAAGCTACCCCACGTATTTGTGGCTGATGAAGCCTTCCCACTAACAGAAAATATTATGAGACCATATCCCTCACATCTTTTAAACGATGAAAAAAAAAAGAATATTCAACTATCGCTTAAGTAGAGCGCGGCGTATTGTGGAAAACGCATTTGGAATACTACAAGAAAGATTTGACATATTTAAAAAAGGTATTCAAGTTCAACCAAAATATATTGATAACATTATACTAGCAGGCACGTGTTTGCATAACTTTATCATTGGTGATCATTCTATGCGCGAAGTACCTAGCTCAGCAATTGTTGGAATCAATGAGACGAGTGCTAATGGCTTGGATGGAATGGTTGTAAGAGATTGTTTTAAGGAATATTTTTCTTCTGTCGGTACTGTGTACTGGCAAAACGAAATTGTAAATAAATGTTAGTTCCTATTTAAAAAATTATAATCTACTATTTTGGTTGGTAACAGTTTATTTTTTTATTTAAGTTATCCTTAAAAAGCTTAATAGTGTAGTTATTTTTTTAAGTTCCATTAATGTGTTGACATTACATTAACTTAATTTCACAAACAATTAAAACTTTTTATTTAAACTGATTTGATTACAGACCGACAGACAGACAACGGGTCTGTGAAACTAAATAAAAGGTTGTAAAATGAAATGGCAAATTCAAATAAAATGTCCATATATTTCAATTGCTTATTTTGCAGGCAATTATACGAAATTATGATACTTACCAATGATAAGTACCCTTAAATGGACGATTTTTGTTTCACGTTTTAAAAAAATATATTTGTGTAATAGACATGTATTACTGTCTAGGAAAAATGAGTGAAAAAATCTAGACATGAATTTACTATACTTTTTTTTTGCAATAATGTGAGTGTTGTTTATAAACTACATTGCGCATTCATTGAGATTTTGCAAGTATGGGTAAAATAAGAGTGGATATTGTTTTTGAAATGTATTTATTTATTCTTCATTATGATATTTATAAAAACAATTGCTTTTTTTCGTATCACATAAAGATACACGACATTTTTGGCACATTTTGAATGTAAAGCCTGAACATTTTGGGAATTTGCACCTCTACTGCTTATCCAGCCAAACTGCCCAATGACATGTCTGATCCAATCTGACGTCTTTCAAAGGAATTGCTTGAGCTGGTCCTCGGAATTTCTTCATTACAAGTTCTCTTTGTATTGTGCTCCCACTAGGTCGACCACGCTTAGCGCCATTTGCAGGTAGACCCAATTTGCAGAGGGTTTCAGCAAGTTCTAGTCTGAATGTACCCAAATTGAAAAGTTGATCATTTCCTTTTATATTATTTACCTTCTTGAACATAACCCATGAATTTATAACTGCGAGGTCCAGGAAATGATAAAATAAGCGCATGGTCCACTTGCGGCTCTTCATTGTGATGTGATAACGACCTATAAATGAATCTAATAAGTCCACGCCTCCCATGTGGGCATTGTACTCCTTGATGACTTTGGGGCATGGAATAGCAACTCTCTCTTTCTTCGATTTATCAAAGCGTGTGACTGTGGTTGCTGGTTCTGCTCCTACGTAAGTGGAAAGAAGGTTAACGGGCTTGTTATCTTTCCACACAACAGCACTTACGTCAATATCATCCACAGTCGCCACATTTTCCTCATAGAATCCTCTGGGTACGTTCTTTTTCATTAAAGTGTTTTTTTCAGGCAATTTGCAGTTTCTCAATCGGTTTACTCTTACTGTTCCCAATGAGAAAATTCCTTCCTTAGCTAAATAGGTGACGAGAGGCACAGAAGTATAGAAGTTATCGAAGTATATAATGTGATTCACATTGCGTGATACCATTCTAGCTAACCTGACGACTGTATTGCCAGACTCTCCCAAATCTGGCTCACCAGGTAAGATGTTATTTTTGGAGCCCCCTCCACTGTAAACCTCAAATCTATGAGCATATCCTTGTAGACTGCAGATGAGATATAATTTGAACCCCCACTTGTGGGGTTTATTGGGCATGTATTGTTTTATGTAATGGCTCATTTTGGTTGCACACATCTGCTCGTCTATGGAAAGCCTTTGGTCTAAGGGAACCTTCCCAAACTGGCAGTTGAGCGTTTCCTCAAGAGGTCTTATTTTGAATAGCCTGTCATAGTCTGGATGATCTTTGGGCAAGCATAGCGTATCGTCGGCAAAATGGAGAGTGGATCTTATTTTTTCAAATTTTTTTAACGGCATAGTATTTTTTATGTGATCATAACCAAATTTTTCACTCCAGTAAGCCCTGGTGTTTGGAAATTTTATAACTGAGGTATAAATCAGAATGCCTAGGAATTTATTTAGGATATTTTTATTTATAATTTCAGGATTGGAGATTTGTTTCTGGGCTGCGTATAAGTTACTTTGTTCTACAATTTGCTTTTTTAGATCTGATGTAAAATAAAATGAAAAAAAATCATACGGCGTGTAACAAGACATCAATACTTCCGTTATCTCAGTTTCTCCCTTAAAAATAAGGCTGTCTTCAGCAGTAACAAGATTCCGTTTTCGCCAAACCAGAGGTCGTTTAGAAATCCCTTGTGATCTACTCTGGGGTGCTGCTTCTTCGGCTTCCAAAATAGGAGGGTCTGGCATATTTTCATCGTTGTCGATTACGAGAGGAGGATCAGCATCCACTTCATCAGACTGGGCATTCTCACCTTCATCACATTTTTCAAGGTCTCGAAGAACATCTCGAGCTGTTTGATAATAGTGACCTTCATCCTCTACTTCGGAGTCTGACCCGTCTAAGCCATCTTCTGAATCTTCAAGAGTTTCTAAATACTTTGTAATTTCGCTTTCTAGTAATCGCGGCATGCTGAAAAGCAAAATAAAAATCCTTCACCAAACATGCATTTATTTAGCAGGCAATGCGCATTGTAGTTTTCCTACAACATACCAGATTTCGCCTAATTCGACAGTAGCATCAAGTGATTTTCAATGTTTTACAACATGAACATGTAATTGAAGATATAATCAAGCAAATAAAAATATGTTATATACTTACATTATATTTTATCAAAGTCCGAACACAGCTACAAAACTTAGTTTCGCGCCACTAGAAAAGTTTTCTTCAAAGTGACATTTGACATTAACTTATTTTCAATGCATAAAAGTATTGGATAGTGCCAACATTAAAAAAAGTACAAAATTCGTTCAGAAATAAGAACTAGTTGTCAAAATTAACAAAAAATTAAAAGAAGATCAATTTTATCTGTGATGTTTAGTATGTTGTTTAAAAACAACATTGTCCATTTAAGGGTTAAGATCTACCGTTTTAGATCTACCGTTATAGTATAAAAATAAATAAGGAAGTATAAAATATACTCACGACTTTTATTAATCTCTTCTCCAATTTTCTGCCACGCGTTCCTTTTTATATGCTGATCCATATAGGTACGAGAGGACATATTATATATACAGTCATGTGAACGGACAAGATTAATTAGTTTCTCTTCGTCCACAGTGCAGGCATAGGCATATATCACAATTAACAAAATTCACACGTGCAGCTCTCTTGAAACGCTCAGTACGAATAAAACAATACAACAAGAACAAGACGCGTGCGCTTCCTCCCTTGCCCCCGCGCCCCTCTCAGGCTGCGCGCCATTCGCCGAAATCGCCGCCGCACTAGTTTCAAACCTTATTTCAATTAGTTTAATTGTCATAATTCTGTGACCGACGTGACTTGCGGGACGTCTGTGGAATGAAACGGCATGCCACGACGTGCCGCGGTATAATTGTATCGAAATAAAGTAATATGAATTCTAACCTCGATGAAATAAGGATAAAAATAACTTGATCAAAAATAAAATCCTTTGCCGTGCCGTTCCATGCCGCGACGTCACTCTGCGCCGGCCTTAACGCTTACTGACGGCAAAGTTTTAGTTGAGAATTTTGTATAATCTTTTTGGGCATGTAACACGTTTACAACAACTCTTCAAAAATATTTTAGGTTTATTGACCCATCACCACAAAGAAAAGTTATTTCTCTATCTGCATATGTTTGTTAGATAGCACATTATGTTCATTCGTAAGCATGTCTTAGATTGGGCCGTACACAAAGTGGTAGAAACTTCAGTAAAATAATTTTTTTAAAGACAAACTGCGCTATGTCTGTGAGATATCAATATATGAACAAAGATGGCCCAGTAATATGTAATGCGTTGATGGAAGTAACACACCGTGAATTGTCCATTTATTTTTTATACTTGGGCAACTCAACATAATATTATTATTACGTTGAGTTCAATAAGTAACGGAATTGAGACGTACGAAATTGTGAGTGACGCCATCAAGAGATTAAATGGCCCGAAATAATTTACTAGTATTGTAGAGCAACTTGTGTTTGAATTTTCAACTAGTTGGTGTATTCAATCATATCGCTCACTGAATGCAAAAAAGTCACAAATCAAAACTCATAAACTTTACAGGACTGCCAATATAAAATTTAGATCACGATTTTTTTAAATATTTCATTATCTTTATATTTGAATATAACATGTTATATATCATTGGATGCGTTTTTAAGTGCTTTATAATGTACTTTGTAATAGCTGTTACTTATGAAGATAAAAACTACAAAAATCCCTTTTGCATTCAAAATTTAGATCAATATCACAAAAATTATATTAAAATAAAACTCAATTTTACAAAAATAAACCGTTTATTAAATCTTCTTCCTGAAAATCTTATTCAAAGAATTCTCTTATTAGTACCTACTGAAAAGCTAAAAACATAAATGAATGACAATCAACAAAAGACCTTCCAAAAAAATTAAAACTTCTAAGGTAATCCTACCTTAGAAGTTTTAATTATATTAAATTATATAAAGTTGAAAAAGCGACGGAAAAGTGTTTTGTACCAAATTCGGTTCTTTACGCGTTCCAAAGGATGTGCTGACAGGTATTGATTTTTCCTGTCGATTTGTCCCATAGATTTGTTGTAATCTAAAACAACGCTTGGTTTAAAAGTCAGTCTATTATATTTTTGTCGAGTCCCGATTTGAAGACTGTGATATGTCGAGATTAGGCTAACTATATTAGCATCTCGCTATACACATATCGACAAATCGGAACTGTAGCTACACACCACTTCACCTTGTCGAAGGTCAGTCTTCGTGACAGTCTTCAATGAATCTGGAACAAATTCCCGATTCAGTCTTAGCGTGTCATAACAGTCAGTCTTTTGTCGTTTCAGACATCGCGCTAATAACGGACTATTATAGAAATTATCCATTATTAACGTATGCCCGCGGTAAAGAAGAGGCTCTACTAGGTCGTAAACTATTTTAGCATTGGTCGGGTGGTCACTTGTTGATTTGTCAGTTATTTCAGTCTCCTCAGGTCTGCCCTCTAATCTGCCCTCTAAGTTATCAGCGTCAGTGTCGACATTAGTCGTCGTATACGCAGTCTTGGTCTCATCCTTCCCAGCATAGACTAAAAACTTCCAAAGGTAACCACTGGAAGACTCACATAACTCGTATGTTTTAACGCCAACTTGGGCAGCCTTAGAAGTAATTTTTTGTGCGAATCCCAGTCTACCGTGCCACTTTAAAAGTGATTCGTCTATAACTATTTCTTGGGAAGGATAGTACAAAGTCGAAAATTTGTCATTGAAGTAGTCTATGATTGGCTGAATTTTTCTTTTTTTGTTATTGTCAACAAAATGCATCAAACATTTTAATAATAAGTATCTGTTATAGAACATGATTTTAAGAAAGTAAGGCATAGTCCCGTAACCATTAAAAGAGAAATAACACTCTTCCTCTGGGAGGGGATATAGGCCTTGTAAAACAATCAGGGCTAAGAAACTGACCATCTCATTGCGATCAGTTGGTGTCCAGCGATACAGTCGTGAAGTCGGAAGAAATTTGTCTTGATCTTGTAATAATTTTATTTTTTGATTGACGTATCTATTAGTTTCAGTACAAAGTTTGTCTACGAAATCATTGTCTATCATTTTATAAAATATGTCAGTAATACGTGACTGGTCTGTCACTGTCCACTGCCGTATCTGAAGCATAACGTTATACTATATAACAATGGACGAGTTTCAATATAACCAACGACTACCATTTACCTCCATAAAAGCGGCCAAGGGTAGCTAAAAAGACCTGGGATACAGCAGCAAAATCTTTCAGAAAGATGTGTAGGCTATTAGGCTATAAAAATATTACGAAACAACGATTGCATTTGTTGGCAGTATAATACGTATATCGGTAGTATATTAAGTCAATCTCGATAGGGAAAAGGGATACAGAAAAAGGAATACATCGACCAAGTTTCATTCATTCAGATGATGATTGAATCGTCATCGGAATGAGCTTAGTCGTAGTCGATGTATCGCTTTTTATGGGGCGTTTTGGACATCAATGCCCTATTTAAGTCTGTGCTCAATCGCCGTGTATCACTATCCAGAGAACTGGGCGAATTTGGTACAGTATCGGCGTCTGGCGTACCAACACGCAGCAATTCTCCCTGCTCCTGGAACGCTGCCACTAGTTGGTCCTCTATAACAAAACAGTGAAGATTTAGATTTGTAACAAGTGGTTATCTACGGTATATATCTAAATAGACATTTACTTACGTATCTCGGCGTCCGCTACAGATATGAATCCTTGTGCTTGCTCATTGAGCGGCAAAAGTTGAATATCATCTGTGACAAACAAACAAAATTAGAAATTCATAATAGAATAAAATGTCCTGAAGTCTAGTAAAATATTTACTTACCTATCTCGACGTTTGGCACAATTTCTGCCTGCTGTCTGGGTGGCACCAGTTGTATATCATCTAAGCCACCAGACCCAGATGGTAAAGCTAATGCTTTACCATGCACTAATGCAGATCATCTAACGATAATTCGTTAGATGATCTGCGATTAGTAGAGTAGAATAGAATAAAATAGAATTCATTTATTGGCACACCACAGCACAAAATACATAAAAGAAATAAATATGTTATGACAAAATTAATTTAAATATAAAACAACAGAACAGATAAGATGAAACAAACATTTTAAATGAAAAAAAAAGTCAATAGATAGTTTGTATTACTTGTCATGTGTGCGGCTGTAGTGTGCACAAAAGGATCTCATACAGCCATAACTTAGGTTAGGCTGTGACGCTGGTTTTCAATGGACCCCAAAGCCGAATGAGTGACAGACTCGGAGTAATGACAAGCATGGAGGAATAACAAAATGTCAACAATGAAGCCGCTTTTTCAGTATGTTCATTAGTGATGACTTTTACTATCGATATCGACTTTTTAGTTCGATCAGTATATTGCAATATTATTAAAAATAGACAAATTTTATAATTTTAACCGATTTAAAAAAAGGAGGAGGTTCTCAACGCGTCTGTTTTTTTTTGTATGTATGTTACGCGATTACTCCGGCGATTAGTGAACCGGTTTCGATGTTTCTCTGTTTGTTTGAAAGAGGATACCTCTAATAATAAACGAGTAATTCCACGCACTTTTGAGGTCGGTTTTTTTTAAATTAAAAAATAGTGCTATGTTGCAATGGTGTAGAATGAAAATGTATCATCCCATACTTGCAAAATTATAAAAACGGATAATAGTTAAAAAGATCCAAATAAAAACATTATATTAGCTACTAAATGAATGAAAAGTAGTTCCATGTCGATGGCAGTATTATGGCCCAGAAATCAGCCACGACGCCCGACCGCGTCACTAGTAGGCGTCAAAACAGCTAGTGCCGAAAGGTGGGCCATGCTCGCCATCGTGATGAAAACATTTGCCCATCGGAGTAAGGTGCTCACCTTTGTTTCCCAGGGTGTGCCAAACGTACAGAAAGGGAATGGTACAGAGCTTTAATAACACCAAACATCGTTATCATTTAATTAATATTTTTTATTGTACACATAAAAACAAACGACGGCGTTAACTTAGAGTGTGATCGATACAATAGCCATGACATGGTTACAATATTGAGACTATTTAGTAATAATAATGATTGAATACAATACAACTGCATACACGTCTTTAATCCCAAATAAAGAAAGGTCGAGTGTTAGAATCACAAAGGTTCGTTAGCGAATTTTAGCACATAAATTGAGAAAAGTTGCCTAAGAAAAATGTTAGTGATAGGTCGCTTGTCTGTCACTCAAAACTCAAAAAAAAATTTAATGTATATAAATAAATATTAAATACAAAGAAAAACACATAGAAAAATTTTCGACTCGGCAGGATTTGAACCTGCGACCGTGCCCATGCTCTGACCAACTGAGCTACAGGTCCTCTACCGGAACCGTCGAAATTTTGCTATACGTCTGTGATATGATCTTTATATTAATATATTTTTCTTGCTACTTTCGGCGCTGTAGGCGACATCTATGGTCAGACCTACGGACTGTTACCATCCAATACTATATTTTTACAAATATGCGAATCGGGCGATGAAGCTTCTACGAACATTAATATTCATTTTTTATTTATTTTGGTGAAAATACCTTAACTACTTTCTTATAAATATTAAATACAAAGAAAAACACATAGCAAAGTTTATATATTTACTGTCCTTTAAATAGTATAGTCTTATTTAAATAATTTCTAATCCTTTCTTGGGGCTGTACAAGCTGTTTCGTAATGTAATGGATTCTAAGTTTTAAATAAATCTCACTAACAGCTTCAATAAGCAAGTTTCGGTGATTATCTATATTCCATTGATCAATACCACGTTGCAATAACACTTGGAATAGGTGACTGCAATTAGCAAACGTTTGACTGACAAGTCTGAACAAATTTTGAGGAAGACGAACAGTTAAAGGGCCTGATAAAAATATCATTTTTTTCAGAACTTTTTCAGCAATTGTACAAACTTGAATTACATCTTGTGATGCGAACAACAATCCACCCTTGCTTTTAATCGATGTTATGTGTTATGTGATGTTATGTCTATTCTCTGAATCATGTGTTACTTCTAGACTCTGCACACATTCCGAACAAACTAATTTTGTTTTAATTTTGCGAATAACAAAACCGGCGATATGCTTTATGACTGAATCAGCAAATTCTGTTAATCGACTAGGGTCAAATATGTAATCATGGTCGTCTAAAGCGGTAATAAGTGGTTCATCCATTTCATTCTCTAACATTTTGTACCTCTCGGTGGAAATATTCATATCAGATATGTATTGATTAGAAGATGAACTTGTCAAAATATTAATTTCACCAAGTGGTATGCAGTTACCTTTGCTATCATTTTTAAATTGGGCATGCACAAGTAATCGTTTATACGCTGATATAAATTGACGAGCAGATGGATTGTTGTTATGACCACCTTTAGAACGTATAGCACTGAAAAACAGCTCTAAATGATCTTGACTGATTTTATAAGTAGACAAATATTTGAAATCAGACTTTGGTGTCACATGAAGATTATAAATATGCCTAACTGACCTCATACAAATAATAAATCCTATGAATCCTGTTTTTCTTCTAGACTGCACTACAGGTTCACCATTTGTAAATTTGAGGTTCTTAATATATTTTTCAGCATTATCAAAAAAAGACCAAATATCTTTGCAATTGAAGTCTGCGACTGGACGTTTCCAGCCCTTCGCTTTCATATTGCGACTGTTGAAAATGTCAAACAAATGGTTGAAAAATCTAATAAATTTCGATGTGCTTGAGCTATTTTCAAATCCTTGTATCTGTTTTTCACGACACATATCTAATGAATCTGCTACGGAAGCACTTAAAACCTGAGTGGCTAATTTAACTTTCATTTTCTGTTTTTCAAAAGTTATGTGCTGTTGCCGTAGTTTATTTGCCGCATGAAATCCTTCCTGTACCTGAAGATTGCTCAAATCTTTTACGTATTGCCAAGATATTATTTCACCACTTTCATCTATTAGTTCCTGATTTTCAGCAAATGTATTCCTAACTAGTTTTATGTTGTGACAAGGATCAGGATAAATAGCAATTTCTGATTCTTGACATGAAAAAGTAGTTTTTAAATTATCCAATTGTAAGCTACACCCTAAATCAGTAGCCATTGCTAAGTTAGATGGCAAACCATCAAAAGTTAAAAAACACAACAGAATATTAAACTCCTTAAGAAGGCTGACACATTGTTTGACTAGTATACTTAGCTGCTTACCTGTGATACCATCGATAAGGAAGAATCCTACAGGTATTTTCCAATTTTCATTTAAACTCGTAAGCATAAATACTAGAGCTTCTTTAGTGGTGGGTATATTATCGCCTTCTAACCCATTACCTATATCGACGTAACCAAAATATCTTACCCCATCCCATCCTATTAATTTTCGGATTGCCATACCATCGATTATTAAAGCACGATAATTTTTTTTCGTGTGCCATCTATTACTTTGTACCATTTTGAAATGGTACTTGGATGCGGTAAGGCACTGTCAAATTGTTGTCGAACATAAGTATAAACCCGAGGAGATAAAAAGTTAAGCGTTACAGCAAATTTTCTAAGTTCAGGACTATATTCACGAGCTACACTATGTCCTTTTTTCTTGTGGATGTATCTGCATAAAAAGTCCTTGTTTTCTAGTCCTATGTCACATAACATTTCCACTGATTCAGTATTAATTAATGATTTAGATTTTAATTCCATTATTACATTTTTCAAAGATGAGATTTTGCGGTTCATTCTTCTGCATTTTTGTTGCAAATTTTTTAGTCTTTTGAGGCGCTGGTCTGATAGGTTGATTTGTTTTGACAGAACTGTTCTTAATT